GACGACCAATTGTCCGCAGCAAGTCGTGTGTCCACAATGACTCAGGGATCCTCATTGGCCAGAAAACGATCTCATTGCCTGCCCAATGGTCTTCAAGCAGTAGCACTGGCGAACCGCCCTCCTCCGGCTGGGGATCAACAATCATGTACAGGGAATCTTCTCCCTGTTGCTCAAAAGGAGTGACAAATGGAGATATCCCAACCAGCAGAATGCTTTGGCGGGTCGAAATGCCACCATGGTCATGTCGTGAAAGAAACTCCCTCACATATACCAACAGGCCATCCAGGTTCAACTGGGTGTCAGGCTCCGGCGTTCCACGGTACCATCTATCAGGTAATACCGCCAAAACGAGCTTAGGCCACATTCGTCTTGCAGCCCGATAGGCCGAAGCTTCTGCCAAAATATTTGCAATGCCTGTAAAAGTGGTCACTCTGTGCAGACGGCGAACCAACCGTCTCCACTCCTGGTACTCCTCTCGATGCAAGTCAAAGTGGTTATCCTGTGTTCTCAGTTCCCCCTGAGCTTGCTGTTGGTACAAGGATGTATATGTTAGCGCACAAGCATCATCTGCAGCTATGGCACTAGCAAGCGATTGACGCACATTTGTCGACATAGATTCCCACGTCTGTCCACTTGCATCCGTGAGTGATAGAGGGTTGACCTCCACAAGGATTTTATAAAAATGAAAGATTTTATAAAAATCCTGATCTCAAATGTCAACACAAACATGTAAAAAAAATAAAATCCTGTCCTATAGGTAAACCTGCCCTTTAAGATCTTTAAGAGCACACCAATGCACATTATGAACTATATAAATAACGGCGGTCCACCTACAGGAAATCATCAATCAACAAACCGTCCAGAAATTCCACTGACATACCCTCTGCGTCCGCCAGTAATCCCATCTCAACTGCCTGGCCAGAAGAAGGAGTTTCAAGCTTCGCGGTGTTCTTGTTGAGGACCTGCAATGATGACAGCAAAGAAGAAAACAGGTTTTCTGCAGAGTTCGAAACAAACTGATACATCTGATACTGAGAGTTCGCTAGCAGGGTAGGGGCCATCGCTCTTAGGTTGGAGGCCATCGCTACTAGATGGGTTGGTGTCCATTGCTCTTTGGTTGGAAGCCATTGCTAGCAGGCTGGTTGAATGGTTCCAAAGGATCGAAAATCAGCAACATGCAAGTGTGCTATTCTGCTGCCTTGTGGTTTGTTTTTTCTAGGTTTCACTCCCTCCTACATTGTTCGGTAAATTGTGGTCTTTATAGAATCCTGTGTTTCGTGACTTTTGTATTGCTGATGACAACCTCTCTGCAATAATCTTTCCTGCAACACAATTTTTAGGTTGAAGAAAAACTCAATCCCACATCGCCCAGGGTTGCACATGTGTCTTTTCCCATAAAGCTCTGTCAGTTTGGCCGACCTTTCTGTCTGACCCACAAGAAATCCAGCACATGCTGTTATGCACACATCTGAGCGTGCGTCAAGGGCATACTGTTCAAACGTTTAGTTCTGCAACAGCAGCCAGCACTTGGCCCAAATGTTGAAGACTGCACGGCAAAATGAGGGAGTGTAGGCTGCAGACTGTGGCAGCCACTTAGTCCCGCAAACTTTGCCATCTTTCTTCTTATAAGGCACCACACCCAGCTCTAGTTGCCTTTTCTTGATCTTTGCCCTGAGCTCTTTGTTCATGGATTTCTCGAGGCGTTCTCCTCCACTCAAGTTGGTGAGGAGCCATGTTGGTTTCTCCATCAAGTGATCCTCAGTTGGACACATAGACCATATATTTGTTTATAAAATTCTGTACATCACACCACAAAGTCAAAAACAATAAACACAAAAAAGATCAAAAAGATCAGAAAGAAAGAGTAACAAACACATACACTGTCCAACCAAACTTCAAAAGCACCCATGTGTGTGCTCAGCAATCTCAAATTGGCAGCTTTCTGGAATCGCCGCATGCATTTGAGTTTGAACATCCAGGATCCACGAGGTTGCTCAATCATGAACTTGATTCCAGAGCCCACTGCTAGCATTACCTGCAACCATGCCACCTTAGATGCACTATCAGTTGCAAAGGAATTTATTGTTCAGGATGTTCAGGAAAAAATAAATCGACAAACAATCAGCACCCTGGGATAACGTTGTGTGTTCTTCAAGGATTGACAGATATGACAGGAAAAAATAATCGCAGCAGTCACAGGAAAATATAAATAATATAATACTTTGTGTTTCTCCAAGATGCAAAATTGGTGACCAAAAGGTTGCTGAGACGGACACCTGGCTTCCATGTGGCACCTTTTGGGCCATATTGATGACGGAGATGATAGCTGCAACTCAAAAATATGAAGCAGCTGCAAGGTGGTCCGGCAACAATAATGGAATTCGGAAGCAAACGCAAACCCAGCAGTACCAAGGATCTGAAACCTTTTTTTGTGGACAGATCTTGACCGTGAGGGTCCAACGACACATCATAGGCCTCAGACTCAAATCCACGATCTGTCCATGTCTTCCTGATCCGGCATGAAGCGCCAAAGCAATCAAGTGCATGCAAGTCTCGAGGACCTTGAAACGCACGAGCAAAGGCGATCCACTGCTTGACATGGTTCTCTGCTGAATACCAATCACACTCCTTGACAGTCGTCCGC